ATTCTATGTTTTGTATAAAAAAGGAAAGTATGGATGACTTACTCAAATACAGGTCTAATATGTGAAACTGGATACCCTTTGTATGTGTTGAGGTCTTACAAATAGATAAGAAAACTTCTGCTGTTACTTCATAATGAATAATAACTTATTTCAGTATCTCTCAGTTAAGGTTTTTCAGAATTTAATAATTATCCTACATTAAGGATTTTTTTGTGTAATGTAGGTGCCAATCAGAGTGAGCTTATTCTTTAGGAGTAAGTATTTGTTACATCCATTGAGTATTGAAAACTAAATGGTCTTCCAAACTAAATGGTCTTCCAAACTGAGCTTTCACACTTGACACTGTGAAAATGTTTTCACATTTAACCTAAATGTCATGGAAAATGTTCCAAGCTTTTCTTCATAATTTATGTGATTAAAGATTCTGATTGTGATGATGCCGGAAACATTTGAGATTTATCAGGTTCTCTATTCAATGTGTTTTATGAATGACATTTTATTTTAGGTAGTGTGATGTACGCTATGTGAAGGCAAAGGCTTTACACAAGTTTTTTTACAGTTAAGAAGGTATTTTTTTCAATCACACTTGTGATGACATGAGTGTAGAAACCCAGAATAAAGAGAGCTAGTGTGTATGTCTCAAATACCAATAGGCAAATGGTCATGGAGCCAACCAAGGATTGCTGGTAAGAACAAGCTGTGAGAAAGAACAGGATGTAGCTGGTGAAAGGGGCCATACAGAGTTAGGATATTTCTGGCACAAATGTCCTTGTTCTAGGCCCTGGAGATAAGCACAACACAGTACAGTAAAAATACAAGAAGGAGGTTGACTAAAGGTTGACTCAGTAGGGGAGGATTAAGACCAGAAAAGACCCCTGAAGCCCTCAGACCCCTTTCCAAAAAGGTCAAGAAGAATGAACTGTGCACTGTAACTAATTTCCGTAGAAAGCGAGAAACTTAGCTCCAGGGTGCAGAAAACTTATCTTTAAAAAGGTACCTCCACAAAGTCTAGGCAGTGCCCCCAGGACTCTGGGCACCCCTGCACTTGGATCAATGCTGGAGCCAGGACCGGTGATCTATCTATTGATTTAGGTAGTAGCTACTCCTTTTTTATGCCAATGTTTATTCTCGATTAAATGGGGAATAGTTACTGGGCTGTTCTTTTTGAGGTTAGCACTGGTCCAGCCTCGCTTCCAGCATTGGGTTAGCATGCATATGGACTAACTTCAAACTTTCTTCACCTAAAGTTAGGAGCAAATGAAAGGCACTTTTTTTTTTCTTACTAGTACTGAAATGATCCACTCTATCTGCATTTCACAGAATGAGGCACAGCAAATTTTTTCCTTTATGTTTCTCATGGCCAAAATCTGGAGCCCTCCGAGAGCTGGCTTCATTTAGAGTCTTTCTAGATTGGCATAATGTTGAACATGCTTTAAATGGTGCATACTCATTTAACAATCAGAAAAGCTCTTCATATCCTAGCTCCATCTTTCCTGCCTGCTCTATCAGGAAGCTATGAGATGTAGTACAGCTGTCTGTTCTGGCTTTGAGCCATGTAGGGTTTTGCCTCAATAACAGGGATCCCCAGCATCCCCTTGGAAGGAGACTTCCCAAGGCAGAAGTGCTAAAATAAAAAAGGCAGGATCTGATTAAACCATAAACTTTATGATGTTTTTCGCCAAAATAAGAAATTTCTGTATTCATGCTGTAATCATTTCCATGCTCATGCTAACTACCAGAGGAATATTTTGCAGGGAAAGAAACCAATAAATACGGTTCTAAAAACAAGTATGTACTTTTTTTATTTTCTTCCTTTTTTTTTTGGCTAAGTGTATATGTGTCTATTTTTTTTGCATATCTAAATATTCCTGAACAAGCAAGATCTGTGGAGCAAAGTTCTAGTTGGAAACATACATTCTAGAAAACACCCCTGTGGCGAAGTGAGGAAGGAATAAAAATAATTTCGGTAAATCAATTTAGTGACCCAGTTGATGATGTCAGCCACAAGCTGTGTGTCAGCCACAAGTGTACCAGAGCTGGGTAAGCACTGACGTGCAACAGCAAATGCCACCACAACTAGCATTTCATAAAACACTACTCTGACACAGTAGCAGAAAATGAACTAACTTATTAAATTTTAATCGTGAAGGTCATACCACTACCATAACAGCGAATCTGCTCCGAGGTTACTGTGCTGTGACTCACATTCTTCAAGCAGAAGCAGCATGGTGTTAAGGAATCTGTTTGAAATGACACAGGGGAACACAGAGAGAGAGAGAGCAAAAGGGAATAATTTTCTTTTAAATTAAGACAGTGCCTCATCATAAAAATTATATTCTTTTTTCTACACGTATCACTTAAATTGCGGTTAAAATTGAATGACTGTGTGTTATTTGCATTACCGTAAATTTCTTAGGTAGTAGTGATTTGTCTTGCTTCGCACAGTGACTCCAGTATAGATGCAAAAAACATTATTTTTTGGCAACATGAAGTAATTATGCAGTAGGGCCCATAGTTAATGGCAGCCTATCACTGCTTAAGAGATTGATCATTAAAGCCATGCAGAACAATTACGAAGTATATCTTTTTATGTATTAATCTATATTACCCATTGCTATGTCTTAACTACTGTAGATTTTTGTCTAATAAGCACATCCTTTTAGGAAGAACTACAAAGGAGACTTCCTAGAAACCTTTGGAGTAGCACAACAGACATATTATGTGGCTTTGCTCTGCTCTGAACACGACATTGTCGGTGCTCCAGCCCATTGCCACTGCATGCTCTGCTGGCACACAGCATCCATTTCGCTAAGAAGCAGAGTCCTTTCTGCTCGTACCTTTTTAAAAACCTCTGGCAACGGATGTTTACCTCTGTCTACCTTAATGTCCTACTAAATACTTAATCTATCTGACCAAGAACAGTGTGCTGTGCTGCAGAGGAACTGTCCTCGGTCTGCTAATTAAGTTCTCAGTGAGAGAAACACTTAGAACAAAGCATGTTCTGTGAGCTCGGGGGAAGTTTTTAAGTGATCTTAGCTATTATAGTTAAATGCGGGGGCTTTCCTGCTAATCAGAGGATCTTCTTTGTAGACTCTGATGCTGAAGAATACTTTTAGTGCAGGTAGGTCCGTGTGCAGCTGCAGACTGAGCTCTGGGTGGTGAACTGCCGACCCTTTGCATGACAGAGCCCAGGGGGAGCTGTGGTTTCCTTTGTTCAGGGAGCACCCAGCTCCATCTGTTATTCTGTTGTTGCAACGTGATTAAATTATTTGAAGGATCCAGACGTCTGAGACTCTGCTGTGGGAAACCTGGTGTGGAGCCGGTAGGGAAACCTTGTCTGGCCGTGTGAGTGTGGTGTGTGTGGGAAGTCGAGCGGGGCACCCCTTGGCTCACTGGAGCTGCCTCGGCCCCAGCTCAAGTGGTGCGAGTGTGGCTGCCAGAATGACTCTCTTTAACACTTGCGCTGAGTTTAGATAAGAGAGAGACTTGCAGAGTGCGACACCCATCTTCGAGTGGCACAGATTTTCATGGGGAAAATTCCTTGGAAGGTCGTGGCACTCCAAGCAGGAGAAAGGGTCAGATTACTCTTTCTAGCACAGCTGAGAGAGGTTAAATATATCAATAAGAGACTAAGATTTATAAGAACATGTAGTGGTAAATTGCATTGTCAAACAGAAATAGTGTAGTAAAACAGACTATCTATGTTACTCTTCTGAGGATCTTTGTGTACAGCAATCACAAAAGATCTCCTGATCCTGTACAGGCAGGAGGCTTTAGCACGCTTCCTAGCAAACCTCATGTGGTTAATTTTCCTTGGCATTGAAACCAATAGATACTTTTGTGTTTGTTTTGTTTTTGGTTTTTTTTCTCCACCTTTAATTTTTGGTAGAGGTGAATATCAATGTATTTCTAATCCTAATCTATGTGTTCATCAAGATATCCCAGACATTTTGCAGACTGTATTTTTTCCATAGAGTTCCCTTTGACAGGAAAGGCAGCAGTCTCTCAGAGGTCACAGTGCATGAATTCTTGATGGAATAACCTGAGGCATATGAACAAGGGAGTAGCAAAGATTTCTGATGTTAACTTCGGAACGTATTCACTGGATCTGCCTGGGAGGGAGTTAGTTTTCTTTGTAGCAGCCTGTATGGTTCTGTGTTTTGGATCTGTGACTAAAACAGTGTTGCTAACACCCCAGAGTTTTGGCTGTTGCTGAGTAGTGCTTGTGCAGCACCATGGCCCTTTCTGTCTCCCAGCTCTGCTCTTCAGTGAGCAGAGGGGACACACACAGCTGGGACAGCTGGCTCCAGCGGACCAGGGGGATGTCCCGTGCCAAGAGAATAACACTCAGCAAGAAAATCTGAGCAGTGAGGAGGTAGTTGTTTCTCAGGGGGCATTGGTCTGCTTGTGGGAAGTAGTGAGTGTGGCTGCATCGTGGTTTGGTTTGGGTTTTCCTTTTTTCCTGTGCTTACTTAACTATCTTTACCTCAGCCAGTGAATTTTTCTCACTCTTGCTTCTCCCATTCACTTTGGAAAGCTACTTTATTTCTTCATATCTCAAGAACACCTCTTAAAAGTTGGGCTTTTTCCAAATTGTTGTGCCAGCTGTTTTGTTCCAGCTAACTTTGGAATGTTGGGGTTTTTTGCCACATTTGTTAGTGCTTTTACAATGTTTTTTTCACAAAGGTTACCCAATAGGTAAAAGTATTAAGAGCATTAATATGTTTCCATAATGGTGAAGGGAAAATTTTTGTAGCTTTGAAAGGAAAGTGTAAATATTTTACAGAATGGCATACCATTGGCATCTGTACTTTAGTTTTGGTTTTTTTTGTTTGTTTTGTTGTTTTTTTTTTTAACTATCTTCAAACCTTATAGCGTGCCAAACATTTTTGTTTAGTGGGAGGATTGCTTATTAAGTGATTTCATAATTAGCTATCTTTCTTTGTCATGGCTTAATAGGGTAGAGCTTAGTATTTTATTTTTCTTCTGGCTTTTTTCAGGTATGAATACAAGCAAGAGTGAAACAGTGAAAGAGCATCCATTGAAACCTTCTAGAAGATCTATGCCATGCCTCGTCCAGAGCCAAACACATCCTCAGAGCCTGAGCAAGCATTCTTCATTCCTGCAGCCAAATCGTGTACAGCCACAACCTCTAAGTGCAGGGACATCAACAGCTACAGTGGATGTAGTGTCAGAACGAGGTAGGAGGTTTTTCTCTTTCAGGAGCTTGTTCCAACACTGATAAACTTTAATTTGTTTAGATATCTACGGTTTATTGGAGAAATGTTTTTGCACAAAACGCCTACACCTATCGTAGTACCAGGTTCTTGAGTCAATCCTTATAATGTCTGAAGTGAGGCTTAAACTTATTTTTATTCTGTTTTACTCAATTATGATATTATTTCCTTCTCACTGAAAACAAGACAAGAAAGTGCTCAGGTGTGCTGGGAAAGAGCATGAAGGTTTCTGTAGTCTGTCCTAGGAAAGAGAGAAAAATTCTAGGCTTTTGGCAAAAAATGTCTTTAAGTATGAACACGTAGGAGCAGATGCATTCATTGATGAATAGCAGAACCAGGGAAGAGTGGTATGGAGAAAATGAGAGCAAAGGGAGAAAATCCCTCTGAATTTTAGCTTGTGCTGGAATAAGGAACTACTTTTGTTTTAGGATTTATGATTTAACAGATAAACATGCCTTATCAGAGAAACTAGTCCAGTTGGAGATCTCAATCACTGTGTGTTGCCTGTTGCCAACTGTTGCCATCCACTCTTGCCCAGCTGTGCGCGAACCTTTATCTGACTTTTGCTACTAGATTTTGATAAGTCTTTCTTTAATGTTGATAGACATTAGACACTAATTATTACTCTAGAAATTTATTTTACCGAGATGAACTGCTCTCAGGAATAGAGTGGAATTCTTCATTAAAGTGATCTTGTTTTTTTTTCTGCCAATGGAAAGTGCTCTTCAAAATTTCAGTGTGAAGTTTTAAAACAGCTTTAAAAAGTATATCTTTTGCTTACGAAATCATTGTGAATGCTGATATGAATATTGCATTTATTACAGCTAAAGTGGTGGAGACTTTGGAAAACAACTTGCTTAAGTTGTCTAATACAGAATACGGTGATCCATTTTTAGGTAAGTCGTTGTCTGAACTGAAATAATGAAAATTAATAATGGTTATTCAATTACACTTGCAGTATTTAAGTGTGGAAAGGCCATATGTATGTACCCTGAACTGCCAGTTTTTTTGAAAGAAAAGATTAAATGTGACTGTGTGATGTCATAAGTTTCCTTTGTCTCACCTTTCAGACTAACAGTAAATAGGGATTAAAGACAGAGAAATGTCATACGTTCAGTGTATCCTTCCCCATAACAATCCTTCGTAATACAATCGTAATACAATCACCTGTATTTGAAATTCCTTTGAAGTTGTTATTATTCACTTAATATTCCTGTATAGTCACCTTATTCAGTATTGTTGTGGCTGCAGTTCTGTTGTTGTTACTGGTTTTGGTATTCTTATATATTTGCTTTAGATATATACTTATAAAAAGGGTTCCAGTCTGGGGAAAAAAAAAAGAACTAATGCAGAAAAATAGCCACATTTGATATCTGTACCTGAATTACTGTCATTCTGATACTGTAATTAAGTCAAAGAAAGTAGGAAAGAAATTATTCTTAGAATAATCCCATTCTTGCAACTGCAAATTGAATCTGTAAATGCACACGAGTAGTAATTTGCATGTTCCAAAATCAAGTAATTTTGAAGTTTTCTGGCCATCTGCTTTACCTATACAGACACACAGATATTGCTGCACCTTGCACAACTGCTGTGAAAGATATTTTTGCTCACAGATGATGAAGCATCCAACTAGAAATCATACCTTCATGCAGAATGAGAGAGATCTACTTTCAAAAAGCTATTTCTGCTCACCTCTCACGCGTTTTAGCATTGATTTTTCTTCATGGCCCAAATTATATGATAGATAAGAGGCTTCTCAAGGTCTCCTAAAGAGGTATCTACTGGAAATAGCGAAATTGGTACTTCCTCCAAACCAAATGTTCCAAAATCATGGCACAGACCAGAAGTTTGGCATGAAGAGTATATAAGAAAATTGTGTGTCTCAGTAAGTTCCAGCAAAAGCTACTGCACTCTCCAAGTGTAATTGGTCTCATTGGGTGAGCAAGCATGGACAATAGAAGATTTTACTGTTACAATTTCCTTAAATATTTTTTTTATATCCTGCTCTGTTTTTAACTATTTGCTTACACATGCTGATATTATTGTGGTTTTATATATGGCAGCAGTAATTCTTTCTCACGGTGAGTGATGCACTGTTTTTCATTCACATTACTTAGTTTTAGCCTGAAAAGATACATGGAGGACTCAGCAATTGAGGAAAAGATAGATTGATTCTTATCAGCTCAAAACTGTATTAAATTTTGGCATGGATGTTTTGTCTCTTCTGACTACAGCTATGATCTTTGAAGAGAAAAAAAAATATTTAAATAGTAGCCCTTTCCTGACTTGACTCATTAATTTGTCCGTGTTAATTGAGTCAAACTCAAATTAGATAACTGAAATCTGTGAAGTTATTCTGTATTTACAGAAATGTAACTGATTAGGTTGTTCAGTTACAAGTAAGAAAGGAAACAGTATTTATAAATTAATCCCTGAAGTCAGTCTTAAGGATTGCCTTATATACATTTAACAAATTGACCTGTGTACCTTCAAAATACAGTTTGTTGGTGCTTGAGGATCTTACTTATGTGGGTAAAAATTTGTCTCCAAGTCTAAAATTTTAAATTTTATCCTCCTGGGGGGAGGTGGAGAGGGGATTAAAAAAAACAAAACAAAACAGAAAAAGGAATATTAGTGCCTGAACTTTGATCACCAAATAGGTGAAAACAATGCTTTGGTTTGTATTCTGGCACTTGGATGGGGTTTGCAAAATAGTCTGATTAATGGATGTCATCATCTTTGTGAACCTTTTCAAACTACTCTCCTGAGAACATCTTAAACAGCTGAATTAAGTGAATGAGGTGAATTTTTAATTAGGCAGCATTGTGGAACTGTGCATAAAATAGGCCAAATGGCTTTATCCTCTTCCAGAATTGTGTCCACAGACAAACTTGTGTGAAGGGGATTAACAGACATCAGATAAAAGACTTCAGTGGAAAGGTTCTCTTTTATTTCAGTTGACTATACATGAGGCCATAAGTCTGTTGGACTTGTTTAGTTAATGACATTGATGGATTTATAAGTGAGAAGATAATGTATTGCACCTTTGTTACTAAAACAGACAAACGGGACCAAGGACATTATGGATTTACGTTATTTTTTGCCTATCAGTTTTAGGTGGTAAATAGTGTTTTTAGTTTGAGGAATTGGTAAATTCAGTCGAAGTGATGGCCATTGAGCTTCTGTAATATAAAATGTGAACTTTGAGGTTTCAGACACACTGAAATGCTCCATGCCTAACCAAAGCTTTGTAGAAATTCCCATCCAGTGAAGGTTATGATCAGAGCTTTTGGATATTACCTAGGTGGAAATCCTATTGCTTGGATCTGGACATGAAGTAAAACGTTACACCTTGTATTTCTCAAAGCATGGTTGTAGAATTTGGTGTTCAGTCCAGAGCAAAATCATGTTATTACTTCTACTTCCTTCAAGAAGCGCTTCCTTTTCCTTTATATTTGCATTATAGAAGAATATAAAGTTCTGGTTGAACTGTCCATTGTCAGTTGAGGTGATTTGAATCCACAAAAAATAAAACTAAGATCAGAGTTCTCAGTTAAGAGTGATAATCCCTCCAGCTCTATTGCATCTTCTTTTAAGATTTTTACTCATTAAATGAGCAAAAGCTTCCTGTGTGTTGACTGTTCAGAGAATTACTTTTTACCCAAGAACTTCTCCAAGGGACCAGTTTGCCTGCTAACCAATGTAACGTTGATTTACTAACTAGGTATACAGTCTTTGATGGCTGACACAGGAGAGATGCTTATGTGAGATGACAGACAGTTAGGCCCAGTCTCAGTGTGGTATTTTAGGTAACAAAAGCAGTATACCTGTGATCCAAGACTTACTTAGACTACTGTTTCATACTGGTGCAATAGTCACAAATAGCTAAGAGGCATAAATTTAGCAAAATGGGAAAAAACTATTTAATACTTTTGTATTTGGGTGTCAGGATCTTACCTCTTATATTTACCTCTTGGTAAATAAAAGAAAAAATGAAAATACTTGTGTTGTATTTGTAGATACACATAAATTTGTTTTACACAGGAATGTGGATGTTATGCTGAACTCATTGCTGTAACAATATAATTCCAGTGTCATTCATCTTTTAATATGTTTGAAGGTCACACCAGTGACACTCAGATGTTTGACATTCATTCTCTCAAAGGGAGTTGAACATTATACTTTTTTTTCGAAGTCTTCTGTCTGTGGATCCTTGCTAAAAAATGTAGTGTGTATTTATGTTTCATTCCTTTTTTCTGTGTTTCGTTTCTCTTCTGAAAGACATGCTCAGTAATCACTTTGATTGTGCCAGCTGGATTTAAATGACCTGGCTTTAACTTCAGTTACTGAATTTCTGGCTTTACTGCAGACACCCATAATAGCTTGTGGATCTAATTGGAGCTGGAAAAAAGAAGTGGCTGCTTCCTAGTAGCTACATAGTAACTAAATACAGAGAGTCATACTAATTAAAATTTATGGTCCTCTAGAACTTTTTATTTTTAAATTCTAGAAACAGAACAGAATTGCAGAGACATTAAGGTTAATGACATTGAGGGTAACTAATGAGTGAACCCAGGAACCACTCTACTGGTGCAGGGGTGTGTCTGTGTGCACATGCAGCACATGGATGTGCTAAGAAACAGTAATTGGTAAATTTTTTAAATAATGTTTTTCTTTTTCCTTTAATGCCATTATATGCATAAAGGGAATTAACCTTATCTTTGAATTGTTACGAATTTGTCTGCCCATGTTTTCTGAGGGAGTCTAAATGTAGACAATTTTGTTGAAGGTTATTTGCACTGGAATTTAATCTCTATGAACAGTTGAAAAATCTTCGATGACGTCTGTTAAAATAGTCGGAGGTGGTTACTACATACCTTCGGGGAGTTGTGAGTGTGCTTTAGAAATCTGCTGCCTGAGTTTAAGAGAATTTAGCAGGTTTTTATGACTGAACTGAAAATGAGGTAGTCTTGAGTTAAGGTGAAGATAATTACATGATTTGCCAGGATTTGTTTTACTGTATTTCAGTAATAACTCCATTTTTCTAAGAAAAACTCTTTTCTTGCCATAACTGAGAGAAACCCTCTCTTCTAATGCATGGTACAGGTGAAAAAGAGCTGTGTAGGATGCAAAGGCTCACAAAACCACAAGCAGTGTTGTCTGATCTTTTCTCAGATTGTCCTTTGGGTTTAGCAAAAGAATAGGGGGCAGTGGTAATATTTAGACTGATATATGTGACATGTTTATCCATTTGTTAGGTCCTTTTCTATAGTTGAAATTACTGTCATGAGTTTTATCAGGTTTGACTTCCTCTTTTTATGTTCACTTTGAAACGCCATGAGTCAGATTTACAAAAGGGATTTCTTGTTACAATACAGAGTGATGTATTTAAAAATCCAGTTTATCACATGCATAGCTAAGGCATCAAGGTTTTCAGGAGTTAGGCCATATTGGAAATCCATTTATACTAAAAGAAAGACTTGTGAAGCTGACAGTCTGCTTGTTAACTTAAAGAACAAATTTTCTCATTTTAATGCAAGCAAGCATATTAGTAGTTTTCTGCAGATCCTATAATCAGAAATATTAGAGGATCATCAGAGGATCTGCTTTACATTGTTAGTCTGAAATATGTCATTTCAAATAAGATGTAAAAATGAGTAAGGGGTGATATAATCAATAGAAATTGATATTCAGTATTTAGATATAATTAGGATCCACTTTTAAGTTATTTGGCAAATAAAAACAACACTCAGTAGCAAGTAAAACAACACTAATTAATTTATTCTTTTTTCGATTCTGTGGGGGTTTTTTCCCTCTGACTTAGGTTAGTTATGAGGGATTTGTGTGTAGTAACTCATCTTTCTAAGCAGGACACTGAATCCTTCCTAGATAG